GCGCCTGTAGTCCCAGCTACTCGGGAGGCTGAGGCAGGAGAATGGCGTGAACCCGGGAGGCGGAGCTTGCAGTGAGCTGAGATCCGGCCACTGCTCCAGCCTGCGAAACAGAGCGAGACTCCGTCTCAAAAAAAAAAAAAAAAAAAAAAAAGGAGCCTGGGATGTGTAGTATGAGGAGAGAGGAAGACGGACACGTTGGAGATGGCTCTGCTGGGGAGGCTGTCTTGGGATTATGTAAATGGCAGGTCTTTAGCCATACGAATCATGCTAAGCTTATGTATAGAACAAACCACAGCAGAGTGAGCAAACCCAAACCTTATTTGTAGCATCAGTAGTTACTTGCAGTAATTCCACTAATTTCTCTCATGACTGTGACGCTGGACAGGTCACCGATGTTTCTTGTACCTGTATTTGGTCACGTGTATTACAAACATTTTAGATATAGATCTACCACAGTATAGTGTTCTGAGAAATAAATGTAAATATACTATAAAAATCATAGCCTAATGACTGACATTTAAAAGGCACCCAATGGAGCTGAATTACTTTGCTATCACCTAATGCTCCATTGTTTCAAGTGTTTAAACCATAAAATCTAAGGCAGAAGGCACTTAGCAGTTTGGTTATTTTCGTTCCTTGGTTCATAGACAACCAATCTCTGGCTGTGTCCTCACATGGCAAACATGCCAAGGGAGTTCTCTAAGGTCCCTTTCATAAGGGGACTAATGTCATTCATGAGAGCTCCACCCCCATGACTTGATCATCTCCTGAAAGCCCCACCTACTAATAGCTTGAAAGAATATATATTTTTAGGGATCTCTTCTAAAGACATGGGAGTCAGGATCTCAATGTATGAATTTTTGGGAAACATAAATATTCAGTCCATAACAACAGAAAAACAACGCCTGGGAATTGGTGGGGCACTGACCTTCACGTCCAAAAGACTTCCCTGATGTTAATGGAGCTCCTGACTCTCAAGGCATGGTATAAAAATAGACTGTGAATAAGAATTCTACCACTTCTACCAAAGAGCCCATGATATGTGCATTTGAACAATGTATATTACAATATAGCATTGAAGTTGTTTTCTTTGTGTACCGAGTAATTATCCATACTTTTGTATGTATACATAGTCTGAAAATATATTTGCCAAAATATTATCTTAAATCAATGGTGTCATATGATTTCTCCTTTTATTATTTATGATGTTAATCTGCTGAGATTTTAATAAATATCACATATCACTCAAAAATTTTATTATTAAAAAATGTATACATCCAGTGTAGTCCAAAGAAATGTTTTATGAATTTACATACACCAAGGATCTAAATAGCAAAGTTAACATTTTATCTTTGCTGTATCACATGTCAGTCATTACACCCCTGTTTGCCTCAATCAAACAATTTTTTTTTTTTTTTTTGCATTTCAAAGTAAGTTGCAGACATCTTCACAGTTCACTCCGGGACACAGTGGCATGCAGATGATAGCATAGGGAAAGCAGTAAGAACCAACATTGCAAGAAAGAGGATGAATTAAAGTTCACCCAGGCTTATTTCACATCCCAGAGCAGGAGATGAGGAGAGCAGATGAGGAGAAATGAGGATTCTGAAAGAGTCTACTCCTGGGAGAAGCGTGCTGTCATGAAGGTGGAGTCGCTACCCAAGAGGGACTGGAGAGAGATAGAGTGTAAAGCCACTGAACACCAGGGCTGCACGCTGTAGGGCCTGGGGCAGACAGAACATGCTGCAAGATGGGATAAGCCCCTGGCCCATGTGGAAGATGCAAGCTGGGTGGGTGCTGTGGATGCCAAGCTGATGTGGAATGAGAAAAGAAGATGGGAGCCTGGACTCCAACCAAGAAGTGAGCGGAGCCACGCTTCTTACTCTCTCACTAAATCAGGGAACATGGGGAAAGGTCTGGATCTTCACACCTGCACAGTAAGGAAAGAGAGGTGGGAGAGGGAGAGTCAGGCTGGACATATTCAGGGATGAAGCAGAGGCCCCAGCTTCACTGCACATGTATTCCTGACCTGATTCCTCCAATTCTTCAGGTGTTGAAGAGCCATGGACAAGACTACCTCATTGGCAACAAGCTGTGCCGGGCTGATATTCACCTGCTGGCACTTCTCTACCATGTGGAAGATTTTGACTCCAGCCTCACCTCCAGCTTCCCTCTGCTGAAGGTGACCCATTTCCCAGTCCTCAAGAGGCAGCTCCTCATCTCCCACCTTGGTATCTAGTATCTGGGCACTTGGACTGGCCACATTCTGACCCCAGCTTTCTCCAGGCCTTCAGGACCCCCTATGTCTCCAAAATGAGGTTTCAGGTCCTGATTCTGAGGCATAGAAATTCCTCTTGTGATGCCAAGGAAATTTGATGTGCATGCTACCCCAAGAAGAACATTTCACTTTTTATAATGCTAAGGACCCAGGGCCCAGCATCTCTCCTCATCCCTCTATTTCACTGTGGTTTTTCCTCCTGAGTTCTCTGTGACGCCCTTTATCCCAATATGCCCTTGTCTTCCCACACCAAGCGTGTCTGAGCAGGGCCCTTTCCATCTGGTTCCTTCTTTGGGCTCTGGCTCCTGCTGCCAGATCATTGTGTTCCTTGTGCACAGCTCTCCCAACACGCTGCTCCCCAATGCTATATCTCTCTATGGGAAAACTGGCCCCATGGTTTGCTTTCACATTTTCTATTTTCATTTCTAACTCAATTTTCCCATATCTTCACTTCTTCTGCTTAGAGACTGATCTGTGCTGATATCTCACAGGCACATCGTTCTTTCTCATCTTCTACAAGAGCCATGAATATACAAGATTCAAGTGTAAGAAAGAGGGTAGGAAGACTGAACTGAATAAAGTCTTAAAGACATTGTTTGGGAAAATGCTAGTGAGCTGCATGTTCTTCCTCTTATCTTCGTCTCTCACTTAGTGGCCATTTCTGCCTCCATACTGGTGCTGATAGAGGGAACTCAGTCGGTCTTTGTGTAGGAGGGACTCAGATTCCCTGGGTTGTGTTAATGGTGGTGTCAGCCCTTGGCTTCAGTCTAAGGCTGTGTTTTGTGCATTGCGGGCCTGAAAATCAGAATCAGCAAACTCCCCACAGTGAAGAAGTTTTTGCAGCCTGGCAGCCTGAGGAAGTTTCCCATAGATGCAAAAGGTTTAGAAGAAGCAACAAAGATTTTCAAGGTTCGATAAAGCAGGTATGGATGCCAAGAACATGTAATACAAATATTCTAAAGTTTACAACAATAAATTGCTTTATCTAAATGTTGGTTGTGGCTGTTGTGAAGTTAATAAACATTTTTAAAATTATATGCTAATTACATAGTAAAACGTCCATGACCAGATTTAGTTAAAATCGATTTATTTTCATTAGTATCTGATATGAAATCAGATTTCCAATCTTCCCACAAATTTTCTTGGAATTAAAAATTCAGTAAAAAGGTAAAATGTAGGCTATGTGAGTTGTTTGACTTGTTCAAGAATTGTCGTCTAACATTTGTCAAATGGCCTGTCAAAAAGTCAGGGGTAGAAATTTTCTCCTGACAATCTGCACAAGAAAACAATTACCATTCTGGGGAATGGTAAAATGAAATTTTCTTTTTTTCCTGGACATCTGTTTTATTTCTGATGAAAACACTTTTTCTTATGCATTTTCAAACAACCATTCTGTCTGCTGTGGATCCCTTAGTTTTCTAGGAGGTGAGGAAATTCTAAAGAGCAAACAGACCCACCCTCTGCTCTCAGGCCACCCTGTTGTCCCTTACAGGTGTGTGTTCCTGGCTCATCCTCACTCTACTCCTCAAGGCTCTGTGGGGCCGCAGGCATGAGCCTTCCTTCAGTTCCTTCAGTGCCACTCAGGCCTGGGCTGCCAAGATACAGATGGTATATGTGAATTACACATAAGTAACTATATGCAACATCATTTTTCTCTGGTGTGTCATTGTGCCAACATGCTTGGATTAGAAGTGATTTCCAGGAATCCTTTCCTGCGTCTTCTAGCTTCTGGGGGCTCTTGGTCTTTCTTGACTTTCATGGATCCTGACCACATCACTCTAATTTCTGCCTCTCTCTTCCAGCACATCACCCTCTGTGTCTTGTGTCTTTTCTTCTCTCTGTGGTGAGGACAATTGTCAATGGATTCGGGGCCTTTCCAGATATGCCAAGAAGAGCTCATCTCAAATTCTTTTACTTCACTACATCTGCAAAGAGTCTTTTTCCAAATTAGATCAAGTTCACAGGGTCTAGGGATTTCTATATGGACCAATCTTTCTTGGGGGCCAACAAAACGCCCTACATGTTATAGATGAAGAAACATTATTTACAATTGATGAATCCAGGTGATGGATACTTTCAGATTTGTTATATTATGGGTGATTTGAGTTGCGTAAAGAGGAAAGCACATGCAAATAGGGTTCCCGGATTTGGCAGATAAAATACAGGACACTCACCTAAATGTGAATTTCAGATAAGCAATAAAGAATATTTCAGTATAATCAGGTTTCATACCATGTATGGAAATAGCTATAACTACAAAATTATTAATTGTTTGCCTGAAATTCACATCGACATGGATGCCCTTATTTTATTTGTCAACCCAGTAAGTAAAGGGTGGCATCAGCTTGCCATTCACAGACATCCCCCCCAGCTATGCTCACCATAGAAGTTTTTCATTTGCCATAGTCCTTGCATCCAACTCATGAAAACAAGTGTCTTTAAAAAGCCAGTTTCTGCTGACTTGCAAAAAGAGCAAAATCCAGGTGAAATGCATTGTTTAAACTTTAATTGCCAACCTTGAAATGGAACATATTAACCAGTTTCTTCTGATAAGCAGATCACTTACTCATGTCTTAGAATACAGTAGGTGGTCCCTTGGCCATGAAATGTGTGGGAGTTGCTTTTCCGTAACTTGACCCTTCTTTCAGTGGGAGGGAACTATTGAAAGGAACAACAAGCTTATAAATACATTAGGACCTGGAAGTCAGTTGACCAGCCACGACAGTGACAGCGTTTAACAAAGTAAGTACTGATCTTATAAATGTCTCTACACTGCCTCACACTCTCCTCTCTAGCCTCCTAGAAAAATATGCTAGTATGTGTTCTTAAGACAAGAAAAAGTCTGTTTTTACCCATATCGTGCTATCTTGGTGTGTTTGGGTGACAGTTCAAGAATTGTTTATTTCTTTTCTGTTGGATACATCTTTAGAGAAATGTAAAAATGAAGAATTTAGAAAACCAGGGCCTCAGCATTTCATGGTATGGGAAACAATGACATGAAGAAAAAAAGAAATGATAGTAATTTAAACAATCTGAAAATAATCAATGCTGGAAGAAGTGGCAATGTATGCAAAAATTTCTCTGTATAAGTAGTCAACACACAATTGTAAATTGTGACACTGTAATACTATATTGGCTGTGAAAATTTAAAACTAAGGTTTATTATAATTAGAGGAAATTAGTTTGAATGTCAGGGGAACTAGATTCTAGTAGAGCTTTTGCCAGTAATTAGCTCCATGACAAGTCATATTCTGTCCCTGGAGTTCTACCGACTCCTGGCCAATCTAGAGGATAGTTAAGAAAGAGACTCCGACTGTTGCTGCCCTTTGAACTGTGTAATTCTTTGTATGGAGATCTGACCTGCCCACTCTAGGATGTTTCTAGGTATCCCTGCCCTCTACCTACCTGATTTGTAGCCCCCTCTCCCTCCCTGCAGATGTTACAACCCAAAATGTCCCTAGACCTTGCTCAATGTCCTCTGGAGCAGAGGAGCCAAATCCCCCTGGTTGAGAGCCATGGGACTACATGACCTCATGGGGCTAAGCAAGGCCGTGTTACTGATGTGCCCCACTGCTTGGACATTCACTGAAAACTTCCTGTTAATCCACATGGACTGATTAATGAATATCATTAACCTCTGTACTAAAAAGCAAAGGAGCTAAAAAGCAAAGAGAGAGAGAGAGAGAAACAGAGAGCCATCATACGACAGATTTCATATAAGTCTGGATTCATATGAAATCTTATTCCTACTAGAGTTCTATGGACAAAATATAGAGAACCAGAGAAATGGATACAAGATAGATGATAGATGATGATGAGACAGATTACAGAGAGATAGATAGGTAGAACAACTGATAGATGAAATAACACATATATGGATGGATAGACAGAGATTATGAATAGATACACATACATAGATATTTGATAGGTAAAATAATTGATGGATAGATAGATCAAAGAAAGAGGATCCATGGGCTACTCAATGTGTCCAGAGACTCACCCATCTTCCAAGCACTGGGACCAGAGCAAACACCCATTGCTGAGTTCCTACTATGAATTTTTTGTACATTATCTCATTTAACTTTCTCAACAACCTACAAAAGTAGAAATAACTACCTCTATTCTAAGGAGAGAAAATTGAGGCTCAGAGATTAAACAACCTACTGCGTTTATGAATCTCATAATGGGAGGAGTCGTGATTTATATCATTCTCCCTTCTCTCTGATAAGAAACAGTATCATTGGGACCAACTCAGAGATGGAACTCCTTTAATTTACTCCTGGAATTATGAGAGCTTATATTCCTTTCAAAACAAGCCCATTTTTTAATTGACGTAAATACAGTTATACTAGTCCTCAAATCACTCTGGTTTTTAGGTTGTCACATCAGAGAAAGGCACACTTTTATTAATTTTTTCTTCCAAGCAAGCCCCTGAAAAGTTGCTCACAGGAGGAACTCAGGAATTAGATGTTCTCCTCTTGCCCTCTCCTTCCAACATTTAGTTGGCTAATATACATTGAATAGGAAAATATAAAACAACTTTTCAGACAGGAGCTGAGAGCCAGGTTAAGGGGTGGAGTGGAAAAGCTCTGGACCTGCAATCAGAAGTTCAGGCTGACCCAACACTCACCAAGTGTGCAGCATGGGACAGGTGCTTTAGCTCTCTGAGACTCAGTGTGCCCATCTTTAATTCGGATAATAGGAGCCATTTCCCAGGGTTGTTGCAGAAGGTAGACACACTCCCTAGATAGTGACCCTGAATGAGCAGCATGTGTGTGTGACCCGTGGCAAATCCTTGAGCTCTCTGGTTCTCATTTTCTGTTGGCCCAACAAAGCTCAATTGTAACCTATGTCCCAGTCTTAGCCTGACCCTTAGAAACCTCACATTGAGAAAGTGGTATGTTAGTTATCAGCAGGAGTGTTGTGATAAAATATTATGAAGATAAAATTTCATTTCCTTTTGAAACATGATCCTCAATCAATGGCTAAGAGAGTTTAGTGTGGGGATTGGAATTACAACACTGTGAACTCTAGTCCATAACAATTAAACAAGCACACCCCACGCTTTCCTGTGAACTTCACTCTCCCTTTCATTCTGCTGAATTATGCTATTTCCATTTCCCAAGTTACTTTAATTTACTCCTGGAGTTATCATAGAAAGTAGAATGCCAAAATATCTAATTACAAAACAGGTGAGTTGATTCAGTATGATTTCAAATAATTCTTTACTTTTCAAAGGTTGAACTATTGACCTCATATTTTAAAATGTAGACATTTAAAAGATTTTGATGCCTAATTTTAGTCATACATACTTTTTTACAAATACATTAGTTGAGGCCGGGTGCGGTGGCTCATTCCTGTAATCCTAGTACTTTGGGAGGCAGAGGCGAGTGGATCACCTGAGGTCTGGCATTCAAGACCAGACTGGCCAACATGCTGAAACCCTGTCTCCACTAAAAATACAAAATTATCCGGGTGCGGTGGAAGGTGCCTCTAATCCCAGTACTCGGGAGGCTGAGGCATAAGAATCACTTGAACCTGGGAAGCTGAGGTTGCAGTGAGCCAAGATCGCACCGTTGCACTACAGCCTGGGCAAAAACAGTGAAACTCCATCTCAAAAAAAAAAAAAAAACTAATTAATAAATACATTAGTTGTTAAAGGCAAGTATATTTTTGTTCCACACTCAGCAACCACAAAACTTTGCAAGAAGAATCTTAATGTTTAGTAACAGAGCTGGGAGTTTGGACAGAAAATGCAACTGTTCCTAAGTCCTGGCACTGGAACTCCTGCTTTCAATGAGTCCTGTGTCTTTCCATTCACATTCATGAGACAATTCGTTGCATCTGTCCCTGCAGCCACTGGTTTTCATTCTCTGATACTCTGCTATGTTCCACCTCCCAAACAGCCTGGGATAGAGCAAGGGCTATCAAACTTCACTGATGAGTCCAGTCAATTTACCTCTAACCATTTACAATGACCATGTGAGCATGCACACATGCAAACATCCATACACACAACATGCAGATAACTGAAACTAACAACTCATGAAATATTACTTACCCTTCAACATGTCATGCTCGCTGATATTTTCTATTATATTCTTTTCTTTTTTATTTTTTAAAGTAATGCGGTTTCACAATCTGCTGAAAGATTACCATGCATATTTGAGAAACACTAACATAGAAAATAAGATGCAGTCTTTGGTTTTAAATAGCAGTGAGTCTGCATCCCAGATCCATCATTTACTCTGAGCAAGTTACTTTAAAAACCTCAGTATCCTCAAATGTAAAATGAGAATAACAACAGCATTCACCTTAGGTGATTTTTGTAGGATAAAATGAAGAGAAGTTTAGAAGAATGACCAGTGTGTGACTGACATTGAACAAATGCTAGCTCCTTCCATATCCTACGAAGTTAATGCAGCAAATCTCTTCTTCCAGGTTATAAAACAAACTACCTCCCACAGAGTTAGAATACAGAATTCCAAAAGAAGCAAGGGATTAGCATTTGTTATCTGTTGAAATAATTTGGATATTCTAGCTACAGTTAAACAAGTCTGAGGGCTAATTTCTGGTTTTGATCAAATGCAGTCTCACAGTCAAAGACCTGAAGAGTGACTTAGCTCCCTGCTGGTCCTCCGTCAGTGACATCCTCTGGTTTCACGGCCAATTCATGGATTCCCAGGGCCTTCGCCCAGCTGGCTTCCAGGCATGCCTTCATTTTAGTCCTTGGTGTAGATATTCATGTCTATCACCAACCCGAGTGTGACTGTGAACATTGTATTTCTCTGATGTTCCCTTTCATTAACTAAAAAATGGAGATAACAACCATTTCATGGGACTATAAGGAGGGTTAAAGATATAAAATATTAAAAGGGACTAGCATGGTGGAAGGATCATTAGGAAGTTTTCATTAAATATTAGTCCTTTAATTCCTCCTCTTCCCATTAACTCCTATACATGTATTATTACCACATACTCTCACCTCTTAGGCTGCCAAGAAAAGTCACAGTTAGCCAATGAAGACTTGAGACTGGTTTGCTGGAATCTGAGGGTGGCCACTGTTGGGTAACAATCTGAACCAAAAAAACATTCCAGGAACTCCTCCAACCAAGTCATGAAGAAGGCAGGTTCTACCTCAGTATTATGGGTGGTTTTCAACCAAAAGTACATTTTTTTATTCTATGGCTTCAATTATTCATTCATTCATTCAAGCTTAGAGAAACCTCCAGAAGACTGCTATCATGGCAGAGAAACCCAAGCTCCACTACTTCAATGCACGGGGCAGAATGGAGTCCACCCGGTGGCTCCTGGCTGCAGCTGGAGTAGAGGTAGGTTCTGAGTTAGGTCATCGTAAGTTGGATTTAAAATTGCGTTATCACATACTTTTCCCACAGAAACTATGAGATGATTACTTACCGAAGCATTGTGCCTTAAATAAAAATGGACTGTAATTAAGAAAAAGATGAACAGATTTGACCTAGTAATTCTTAAAATTTCTTCTCATCTAAAGGCATACATATTAAAATACATTTAAGAAACTAATCACAAAGTGTAGAACTTAAGTGGATTAGAATTTAAACAAAGTGTAAAAAATAATTTATGGCATTTACACAACAATTAGAAACATGAATATCAATTGAATATTTGATGACATGGAAGAATTATTGTTAATATTTCATGTGTGATGATGTACTATGGCTATCTTTAGAATACTTAATGTGTTTTAGGAAAACACATTGAAGTATTTAAGGATTAATCATACGGATCTGGGATTTCTTTGGAATTATTACAAGAGTAGAAGTAGGTGGGCATACAGATGAAGCCATATTGGTTTTGATTGATAATTATTGATTTTAGGTATGAAGCATAAGGAGAATCATTCTGCTTTTCTATTTATATTTATTCATGTTCATAATTTAAACAATAAAAAATAAAAATGCATAACATTTTAGAGGTAATTAAAGGTTGTAATTAGAGGTAAAAATGCAAACTACACATGAGAGATGCAAGGGAGTGTATTGTAACAAATTACCTATTAAAGATTGACTACATTCACAGCAATTATTTGGTTGAGTACTTACTAATTCCAGGTCCTGTACTAGGTCATGGAAATAGACAGTGAAGAAGATAGACACGGTCCCTGCCCTGGGGCGGCCTACATGTCTATGAGGATGCAGAGATATAAACACGTGGTTAAAACGAGGTGGGGAAGCTTCTAGAATACACATGCATTCCCCAGTGGCACAAAACTACATCAGAAACTAGAAGTTTTCATTAAAAATAATATTAGTGTGGGACTCTCATTCCTTTATTAAATTGAGAATTTTACCCTATCGTGTCTCACAAACTTCAGAAGAGAAAATTATAGTTGCAAGTGTTAAAGCTGTGTAACAGCGGTGACCTATTTCACCCTTAGCAGGGTTCCTGAGAAGTGGGGCGATACAAATTACAGCAGAGGCTCCTTGGTGGCAGAATATTTGATGGCCATTATCCCATGGCACGCCCCATGCTGGGGACACACAAGGTTGTGGTCTGATCTCGCTTGGAGACACAGGTTTTCCTAAGATATGACAACACCATAACTTGGAGAACTGCTCAGTGCCTTTTCTCCAGTGATGTGCCCTCTCAAAACATGACCTAATCATACACATTCATGAGATCAGGGTGAAGGTGAAGTGACCTAGAAGATTGAGCAGCTATGTGCTGTGACCCATGCACTTCTCTCAATGATTTAGGTCTAAATTTCCAAATGGCCATGACCAGTCCCCTCTGGGTACCCTGCCAAACTCAGAAATCTTATATTCTCCAAATTATGCAACAGATAGGGGCCATCCAAGGTCACAAGTCTATAACAGAATGAACTAACAAGAACCCCATTTGCTGTGTCTGCTTCCAGTTTGAAGAGATATATCTAAAATCTGCAGAAGATTTGGACAAGTTAAGAAATGGTAAGATCAATCTCTAAGTGCCTCTGATGAGGGTATCTAGTAGAAGATACAAGGGGATGTTTGAGCAGCCGGCAATGTCTATGTGTATGGGGCGTGATATTTGGACATGGTGCAGAGAGAGAACATGGTTAAGATGGAAGGGATGTGGCTCTTTGATCAAGTCTGGCAACTCTCTCCAGACTAAAAGGACCAAACCTCTCAAAGTGTTTGCTACAGGAACAATCTCCTGCACCCTGAGAAAGCCCTTTTTTGTTTTCGTGCTTGGGGCACCAGGAATGAGCTGTGGTCATCAGCACAGTATCCCACACAGCCCTCCCCATCCAAGCACATGCAAGAACATGCATTAGATCAAAGGAAGAGAAATAGATGTGGCCAGTGTCTTGAGTTTTTTCTCTCACGGAGGGGGCATGACAAGGTAACACTGCAGCACTATTGCAGACTTTGAAGAGCACAGAAAGGGACCCTTACATAAAAAGCTCTCAGAACCTGCCTTAAATGTCACAAACACCATGAGACTTACTCTGGGAACTTTCTGTTTTAAATAGCATCTTGTTGCCAGTCCTATTGTAACTTGTCCCAACCTCTTCCTAAAATATTCATGAAGGTAAATCAACACAAAAATCACTTGAACCTGTGAGGCAGAGGTTATAGTGAGCTAAGATCATGCCACCCCACTCCAGCCTGGGCGACAGAATGATACTCTGTCTCAAAAAAATAAAAATAATAATAATAAAAGCTGTTTCAAGTGAAGTCTTACTAGACAATAATTTCTTTTTCATTTTACGAATTTAGTCATTTCCACAACCATTTTTTTCATCCTGAAAGTCTGGGTTTCATAGACATTTCACTCTCCTTTTCTTCTTCCTTCTAAAGATGGGAGTTTGATGTTCCAGCAAGTGCCAATGGTTGAGATCGACGGGATGAAGCTGGTGCAGACCAGAGCCATTCTCAACTACATTGCCAGCAAATACAACCTCTATGGGAAAGACATAAAGGAGAGAGCCCTGTACGGTATATTTTCTGTTCTTCCATCCACAGAGAACACAGAATGATTTAGGTCTTTCCTTGAGTGGGTAGGACCATGGCAGGGCATCATGACCAACACCTGGCTGGGCCTTGGGCGTGTACACTGGGGTCCAGTATTGAAGAGTATTGAAGAGTCCATGGAGATGAGGGAATAGTGAACATGGGGTGGGTTCAGGCAAGGGTGATTCTAGAAGAGGATGCAGTCCATAGATCCAGCACCTTATGGTGATTTCCAAACACGGATGAAACATGAATTGAGGAGGATGGAGAATCACAATTCCAGGTGCTCAGGACTTCAGAGGCTGGACTCCAGCCAACAGCTTAGGACAGGCATAGAATATTTGAGAGTCTGTAGATGAAGGACTGGGGAGGGAAAGCTGCAAAGACACCAAATCTTAGGTCCCAGTAACTCCAAGAATGATGACCAGGAACCTAAATTACCAACCAATTATAGCAACTGGAATACTTGAGCAGAGCTAGTAGAGGCTGCCACCAAGGATGCTGGGGTTACCTTGACATATGGATAGAAGGCTGAAACAGCCAGATTGATTCAATACCAGCAAAGTCAAGGGGTCTCCTTGCTGTTGTGATCAGACTGCATGATTCCAAATAAATCCTGAATGAAACTGCTGGCAGCTCCTCAAAAACTTTAATATAGTATCACCAATGACCCAGCAATTCCTCTAACAGGTATATCCCCAAACAATCAAAAATACATCTTTTACATAAATGAATAATGCAAATAACAATATTCATAGTATTCAAAAAGTAGAAACAACCCAAATATTCATCAATCAATAAATGGAGGAGAAAATGCACCTTAGCCATGCAATGGAAAGATATTTGGTCATGAAAAGGAATGAAGTACCAATGCATGCTATAAGATGGTTAAACCATAAGACATGTTACATAAAACAAACAAGACACAGAAGGCCAGGTACTATAGGATTCTTTCCATATGAAATGTCCAGATATTCAAATCCATAGAGGTAGAAAGTAGATTAGTGGTTGCTTGGAGCTAAAGAAGTGGGGCGTGGAGAAAAACGAAGAATACTGCTAATAGTACAGATGTCCTTATCAGTGTGATAAAAATAATTCTGGAATTAGACTGTGGTTATTTTTACAGATTTCTGTGAATGCACTAAAAACCACTCAATAGTGTAATATAACTGGTGGCAATTATAGTATGTGAATATGCATCAATAAAGCTCTTGTTTAAAAAGTATTGTGAAACTCCAGTTTGACACAAAAGAAGAAAAGTTTGCACTGGTTGTAACTGTATAGAGAATTTCACCAGGGAAGGGGATTCTTAGGTGGGGTCTCAAGAAAGGCACACATGGCTAGAGTTGGGCAACAGCACATGGAGAGGGCTATGGAAACGTGTTTCATGGGTGTAACTGGAAGAACTGTTAACATGGGGCATAGAAGGAGCTCTAGGAGATGTAAAATGATGAGAGAGGATGAGGAATTTGGCTGAGATGGTCAGGGACTCTCTTAGGATTACTTAGGAAGCAGGTCTTTGGCCATTTGACTCACACTAAGTTCATGCACAGAACAAGCCACAACGGAGATGATAAATCTTGGCACAGCAACAGTGGGTACTGGCAGTGATTCCACGGATTTCTCTCATGCCTGTGACCACTGATGCTCTTTTTCCTGTATTAGGTCATGTGCATAACAAAATGTAGAGATCTGTCTACCTCGATAGGTTGTTTTAATAAATAAATGTTAATATACCTGTAAAAATCAGAGCATAATGACTAGACTCTGAAATGCACTCACTGGAGGTGAATTATTTTGCCATCACCTGTTACTCTACTCTTTTAGGTTTTTATAAGCATATGAAATCTAAGGCAAAAAGTATTTGACCATTTGGTTGTTTTGGTCTTTTAGGATTGATATGTATACAGAAGGTATAGCAGATTTGGGTGAAATGATCCTCCTTCTGCCCATATGTCCACCTGAGGAAAAAGATGCCAAGATTGCCTTGATCAAAGAGAAAACAAAAAATCGCTACTTCTCTGCCTTTGAAAAAGTAAGTGAAACTGTTCAGTGTTTTGGGGAACTGAGTTTAGAGGCCAGTAGAAAAATAGTGGCTGGGCATTCCTGGGGCTACTGACCTTCACTTTCAGTGAGACTGCCTGAACACCAACACTGCGCTCTGACTCTCAAGGCATTTTATGAAAATAGGCTTGGAGAAACAATTTTATCACCGACACCCACACTATAATTTTCCGGTAAACTTTTAATTTACTGAACCCCAACATGGAATTATCTGTTCAACAAAATCTCGTGTTCATAAGTAGAATGTGGGCTGTGGAAGGCTCTTGACCACACTAGAGGTTGCTGTTGAGTCTATGGAACCCCATGGACTTTGATTGAAGACGAACATGATGAAAGTGATCCATCAGAAAACATTCTGGTACCATGTGCAGGAAGACAGGAGACCGATTGCCCAACCAGAGAATACTATAGTGTTTCAGAGATGGGTATTTTTAAAAGGAGAGTGATTGTAGGATGCAGAGGAAGATTTTGTAAAATGCATTATATAGTAAGTTGTAGATATCAGTGCAGTTCACCCGTAAATGCTTCAGCTTGCAGATTATAATATAGTGCCAGTCAGGAGTGAGAGTCAATGCTGTAAGAAAGATGATGAATTCAGGTTCACCCAGGTTTACTACAGATCCCAGGGAGATATAGCGGGGAATGAGGAGAGCAGACAAGGAGAAATGAGGACTCTGAAATAGCCTCCTTCTGGGGGAAGAGTGTTGTCATGAAGGTGGAGTTGCTGTCCAAGGGAGGTTGGAGAGTGAGGGAGCAGAATGTAGAGCCACGTCCTGAATGTGAGGGCTCCATGCTGTAGAGCCTGGGGCAGACATAACATGTGGCGGCGGGTGCTATGCCCCTGGCCCATGTGGAAGCAGCAAGCTGGGTGGGTGGTGTAGATGCCACAGTGATGTGGAATGAGAAGAGAAAATGGGAGCGAGCTCCAACTGAGGAGTGATCAGAGTTACACTTCTTACTCTCATTCATTCAGATAATGTGGAGAAAGCCCTGGATTTCTGCACCCATGGAGTAAGGCAACAGAGGTGGGGAAAGTCAGGCTGGAGAGGCTCTGAAAGAAGCAGGGGTCCCAGCCCGGGTGGGCATGTGTTCCTGATCTGATTCCTCCAATGCTCCAGGTCTTAAAGAGCCATGGACAAGACTACCTTGTTGGCAACAAGCTGAGCCGGGCTGACATTCACCTGGTGGAACTTCTCTACTACGTGGAAGAGCTTGACTCCAGCCTTATCTCCAGCTTCCCTCTGCTGAAGGTGACCCATTTCGCAGCCCAGAGAGGCAGCCCCACATCTCCCATCTTGGGATCTTGTATCTGGGCCCTGGGACTGTCCAAGTTTTGATGCCAGCCTTCTCCAGCCCTCAGTGCCCCAAGGTCTCCAAAATGAGCTTCAGGACTCTAGTTTTGAGGAATGAAAACACTTTTGTTATGGAAAGGAAATTTGTGGTGCATGCTACCCCACAGAGTATTTTGCCTTTTATTCTGGAAAGAACCCAGGGCCTAGCATCCTCCCCATCCCTCTGTTTCAATGTGGTTTCTGTTTCTGAATTCTCTGTGACGTCCTTTATCCCAAACGTGCACTTGTCTTCCCTCAGTGAGTCGCTCTGAGCAGGGCCCTTTCCATCTGGTTTCCTCCCTGGGCTCCGGCTCCTGCTGTCAGACATTTTGGTGCTCCTGCACAGCTCTCCAGCACTCTGCCCCCCACACTGTATCGCTCACTGAGAAAAGGTGGTCCCATGGTTTGTCTTTATATTTTCTATAGCTATTCCCTTTCCCAACTAATTTCCCCGTATTTTTACTTCTGCTTAGAGACTGATCTGTGTTGATATCTCACAGGCACATTATTTTTTCTTGTCTTATATGAGAGTCACTAATCTACAGGATTAATATGTAAGGAGCAAGATAGGGATGACTGAACTGATTAAAACTTAAAGACATCTTTGGGGAAAATAAAGTGAGCTACACGTTCTTGTTCTTATCTTCATTTCTCACTGGGTGTCTGTTTCTGCCTCCATGCTGGTGATGATGGAGGGGACTCGCTTGATTTTTGGCAGGAGGGTCTAAGATTCCCTGGGTCGTGTTAATGGTGGTGGCAGGCCTTGGCTTCACTCTGAGGCTGTGCTTTATGAATTACAGGCCCTGAAAACCAGAATCAGCAACCTGCCCACGGTGAAGAAGTTTCTCCAGCCTGGCAGCCCCAGGAAACCTCCCATGGATGCGAAATCTTTAGAAGAAGCAAGGAAGATTTTCAGGTTTTAGTAAAGCAGCCATGGAGGCCAAGAACTTGCAAGACCAGTATTCTAAAGTTTGCAACAATAAAGTGCTTTACTTAAGTGTTGATTGTGCCTATTGTGAAGCTAATGAACTCTTTCCAATTACATGCTGATTAAATAATACAACTCCTATTCACCCACTTAGTTAAAATTGATTTGCTTTCATTAGGATCTGATGTGAATTCAGATTTCCAATCTCCTCCTAACCTACCACTTTCTTGGAATTAAAAATTCAGTAGAAAAGGAAACTATAGATTATGTGATTTGTTTGACTTTTCCAAGAATTGTCTTATAACAAACAATTTCTCATACAATCTATTAAAATGTCAATGTAGAAATGCCCTTCCGACATTTTCAGGTATGCGCAGGAGAAGAGTTACCATTCTGGGGAATGGCATAAAGCCATTTTCTTCTTTTCCTGGACAGTCATTTTATTTCTGATGAAAGCATTCTTTCTTATGCATTTGCAAAATAACGATTCTGTCTGCTGCGGATTCCTCAGTTTTCTAGGAGGTGAGGAAATAGTGAAGAGCAAACAGACCCACCCTCTGCTCTCAGGCCACCCTGTTGTCCCTTACAGTGTGTGTGCTCCTGACTTATCCTCACTCTGCTTCTTAAGGCTTTGTGGGGTCCCAGGCATCAGCCTTCCCTCAGTTCCTTCAGTGCCACTCAGGCCTGGGCTGCCAAGATACAGATGGTATATGTGAATTACATACAAATAAATATATGCAAAATCATTTTTCCCTGGTGTGGCACTGTGCCAGAATGCTTCTATTAGGAGTGCTTTCTAGCTCCGCCCACATACTGGGCTTATAATGTGAATCTCTCTCCGGACACCTGGACTTCTGCAATTTGAGTCCTCCTGTTAGAGTGAGCTTCCCCACAGTTGGCAGACGTGGTTGAGGGAGCAGACAGACACACAGGCTTTCTACCTGCAGCTTCACTTTGCTCTAGTCTCTTTTCCATTTACAACCAGAGTAGTGGTTCTAAAATGCAAATCGGAAAAAAAATCACAGAATTCTTCAGTGAGTCCTGACTGCATATAGAATGCATCCTCACGCCCGTCCTCACTCCTTGATCTCCAGCCCAATCAACCCTCTGAGCATGGTGGGGCCTCTTGCCTTCCTGCCTGGGTGCATCTGCTAGCCCTGCCTGGCGAGCTTCTTCCCAGTGGACACACTTAACACCACCTCATTGCTTCCCAGAAGTGCTGGGCTGTCCTCTGCCCTCCACATAGCCCCAGGGAGCCTCTAATTAAACATCTGAGGGCCACTGTGTCTGCTCCCCTGTACTGTGAACTCATGGTGTGGGGCTTGGCCTGCTGAGTCCCCAGTACTTCTTCACCAACAGACAGTGACACCTGCACAGACCCATGCACAGCTCTATGCACCTCCAGAACCCGGGTATATGAGACTGGGCTTTGAGAACACGCAAACCGCCACACACTCTACCTGTCTCTATTCATTCATAATTTCTTAAAAAAAAAAAAAAATTGGCTCATATCCCTCAAATGTTTTGTTAAGATCTTGCTTGGATGCTGACAAAAATAAACAAACTGCTAAGAAATTTTTATGGTACACTTACGTGAACTAGAATGCTGAAGCTTTGATGAAATTAGGGAATTATAGAATTTTAATATGATAAAATTATATGCAACATAATCACAGTGTAATTGTGTTTAGAAAAGAACTTCTTCTTTTCTAGAGATGAATAATAGTATTTACAGATGAAATGATATGCTGTCTGGGATTCGCTTGAATAGAATCCGATGGTAGTGGAGGGAGTATGTGGGAGTTTGCATCATTTTCTTGTGGCTCCTGTCACAGATTCCTACAAACTGGGTGGCTTGAAACAACAGAAATGCATTTTCTTACAATTCTGAAGGCCAGAAGTCTGAAGTCAGGGTGTGAGGGCCACATTCCCCTGGAAGCTCTAGGGAACAATCCTTCCCTGCCTCCTACAGCTTCTGGGGGCTCTTGGCATTTCTGGACTTTCACGGATCGTGGCCACATCACTCTGCTTTCTGCCTGGGGCTTCCAGCACCTCACCCTCTGCGTGTCTGTGTCTTCTGTTCTCTGTGTTGCAGGGACACTTGTCATTGGATTCAGGGCCTATCTGGATATTCCAGGATGATCTCATCTCAAGTTCCTTAACTTCATCTGCAAAGAGGCTTTTTCCAACTAAGGTCACATTTACAGGACCCAAGGATTTGGACACGGACCTCTCTTTCTTGGGAGCCAACATAACGTAATCCACTACCTGGTAGAGATGAAGAAATGTTGCTGGAAACTGATGCATCCAGGTCATGGGTACCTTCAAGCTTGTTATATTATTCCCTCTACTTTTGGATTTGCTAGAATTTTTCCATGTAAATTTTAAAACTATCTTATTTTAGGAGCTCCTACAATGTCCAGGCTTTGTCCCAGACAATAAGGACAGGACTCAAATAAGAAGAAGGCTCTGCTCTCAGGAGCTCAAGGTCTAAGGGGAAATCGGATATTGAATACATCTTGTCAAATTAATGTAGGGAAAGACACAATAGAGAAAACACAGTAGGAGCTGAAAGTAGAGTATTCCAGTCAGGATAAACACCATGTGCAAAGGCCCAGAGGCCAGGAAGGGTGATTTGAGCAATGCAGAGAGGAAACACTATAAAAATAGGATGGCCAGATTTGGTGGATAAGATACAGGACACCCAAATAAATGTGAATTTTTAGATAAACAATCAATACTTTTTTAGTATAAACATGTTTCCTACAGCGTTTGGGACACACTTATACTAAAAACATGACTGATCCTTTGCCTGGAATTCATATTTACTTGGGTGCCCTGTATTTTGTGTGGCAACCCAGTAAGAGAAGCCTTCCAGAGTGCCATCAGCCTGCCCTTCAGAAACATCCCCTCCCAGCTATGCTCCCAGCAGAGATTTCTCATCTGCCTTAGTCCTTACATTCAAGTCATTAAAAGTGAGTGTCGTCAAAAAGCCAGTTTCTACTGACTTACTGTAAAGAGAGCAAAACCTGCTGAAATTTTTGGTTAGACTTTTATTACCAACCTTGAAAAGGAACATATTAACCATTTACCTTGTGATAAGAGGATGATTTGCCATTTTTCTCAGAATCTAGTAGGCAGTCCTGCGGCCCTGAAATGTGTGGGAGTGGCTGTTTTTAACTTGACTCTAGTCCTTTCAGTGGGAGGGAGCTATTGAAATGAACATGTAATTTATAAACCACATTAGGACCTCAGAGTAAGTTGTTGAGCCACAAGCGTGACAGCCTTTAACAAAGAAAATACCAATCTTAGATCTTAGAAATCTCCCTATATTACCTCATGTCCTCCCGTCTAGGTCAACAAAAAGATACTTTGAAATGTGTCCTTGGCACAAGAAAAATCTGTTTTATACTAATATTAATGCCTTCTCTGTGTGCTTGGATGACAGTTTAAAAGTTCTGCATTCATCTGCTTTTGGATACATTGTTTCAACTTAAATAATGAACAGAGAGCCTTTCGAATAAAAGATATTTATTTGAGAATTAAGCATTGTAATGGGTATATGTTTATCATAGTAAACTATGCATGTATTTAGGGAAGTTAAGAAAGACAAATATTTTTCTAGGAAAAAAATGAGGATTAAATAAACATTTTGAAATATTTATCATTCACTACAAATATCAATAACAAGGGTAATGCCAGGCCAAGTTTAAACAGGCAGTTGATGGGCAAGTGTCCTAACAGAAGTATTCTTTTATAAGATTGCAATGGCCTTCGTTCAAGGTTGTGTTTTTCCTAGTTTGTTTTGTTATCAGATACAAAAGAGTAAGAACATTCTCTTTATGGCCTTTTTCAGTCCTGTTTGTCAGAGTTTTCCTAACATTTTGTCTCCTTTTGACTCTGACAACTCTCACAATTGTTAAAGAAATGCAAAAATGAAGAATTTAGAAAACTAGACTATGAGAATTTAATGATAGTAGAAAAATTAATGCCATGTGGGGAAAAAATAGTCACGATGTCATTGTAGATAATCTGAGAATATGATCATCGCCAGAGGAAAGGTGGGTGTTTATGCTAAAGTTACATTCTCTAGACAAGTAATCAACACACAATTATTGTGAACTTACATTTGGCAAGATTACAGAGTCGGGAATTCCCAGTGACTGGTAAAAGTGGCCTACAACTGGACAGTTCCATGTCTGCAGTTGCTTCTCCAAACCTCCATCTCCAGCTGAGAAAAGAGCCACCAACACCTGTCAAACAGAATTCTAATTTACAACTTGATGGTAGATATCACACATTAATGCTTCCTTCGGGAAGTGCTTTGTGATTTGTTGTCAAGTGTTGATGCCATTGGCTTTTCAATATTTCTTTAAGGTGGTTATGCTCCAAAAGGCAGGCAGAATCTTTTGAGAGCAATTATCTAGAACTTACAGGTGAATCTAAGTCTTTAGAACTTTTAGTTCTATAAAGCAAGATGACTTAGATTAAGGACTAACAAAATTAAAAACAATAATGCCCTTCTTGTGAATTTTCACATTCCCGATTCAACAATTACCTGTTAATCCTTGTCCTTTGCCTAATTAAACACTTGCCTGATAGCCTTGCTCTTTCCAAATTCCTTCTTCCTTAGTCCTTCTGGGTCTACTCAGTGAGCCACACGCATATCTTTATTAATTCGGTTGAATTGTAGAAAATTGAGTCTGATAATCAGGATTGGTTGATCCATTATCTTGAATCTATTATTTAATTTTTCCCATATCATTTGATTTTCTCATCAAGAAAGTTCAAAAGATGAAATTTATAGAAATCTCTGTGACTGCTAAAATGTCTAGCATTGCTATGTGATCTATCCAAGTACCAGTGATATTGTAATACTATCATGTGCAAAACACTGTGCTAAAACATACTGTGAGACCTCTCTGCTCTTTGGGAACCTCACAATTTAGTGGGGACACAATGTGTATATAAGCAACTGTAATACTTTATAGCTGTGAAAATTCAAAATTAAGGTTAATTTATAATAGGAATAAATCAGTTTCTGAATGTCAGGAAAACTAGAA